ACGGGGAAGCGTCCCGCGTTATCGTTTGTCAGAATTTGGGGTTGCGACGCTTACGTGAAGCGTCAGATGGCTGATAAGTTATCCTCCAAATCTGATAAGTGTTTATTTGTAGGCTACCCTAAGGAAACTAAGGGTTACTACTTCTACATTCCGGCAGAGAACAAGGTGTTCATTGCCAGGAATGCGACTTTTATGGAGCGAGAGTTCGTCTCCAAAAGAGTCAGTGGGAGTAGGATCGAACTTGAGGAAGTTCGACAGCAGCAAGTAGACGCTAAGCCGAGTGAACAAGTTGAAGAAGTTCAACCTGTTTCACTACCGGTTGTGACTCAACCTTCGACGAGTGAACCTCGGAGATCAGGCAGGATTCGCCAAGAGCCTGTGAGATACGGATTTCTCGTGACTGGGAATGAGGAGCTCATGTTATTGGAACATGATGAGCCTACCACATATCCAGAGGCTATGGTGTGTCCGGATTCCGAGAAATGGCGCGAGGCTATGAAGTCTGAGATGCAATCCATGTCAGACAACCAAGTATGGACTTTGGTTGATGCATCTGAAGGGATAAAACCCATCGGATGCAAGTGGATCTTTAAGAAGAAGACCGACATGGATGGCAACGTGCACACGTATAAGGCACGACTTGTGGTGAAAGGATTCCGTCAAATTCATGGTATTGACTATGATGAGACGTTTTCATCTGTAGTTATGCTGAAGTCCATCTGGATCCTACTTGCCATAACCGCATATTATGACTATGAGATATGGCAAATGGATGTCAAGACCGCGTTCCTTAACATGAACTTGACCGAGGATGTGTACATGACACAACCTGAAGGTTTTGTCGATCCAAGGAACCCGAGGATGGGTGCAAGCTTCAGAGGTCCATTTATGGACTGAAGCAGGCTTCGAGGAGCTGGAACCTTCGCTTTGATGAGACAATCAAAAAGTTTGGTTTCTCACAGAACGAAGACGAGCCATGTGTTTACAAGAAAGTCAGTGGGAGCACAGTTGTATTTCTAGCGCTGTACGTGGATGACATTCTACTTATAGGGAATGGCGTTCCTACCTTGCAAGACGTTAAGTCTTGGCTAGGAACGCAGTTTTCTATGAAGGACCTAGGAGAAGCGGCCTATATTCTAGGAATAAAGATCTATAGAGATAGATCGAGGCGACTTCTAGGATTGCATCAGA